CCATTACAGTTTTTAAGGCTAAAGTCATCTGAAAGAAATTTACAGAACCAATTACACATTATATAGGCTACACTAACGTGACGTTTAGGCCGTTCGTTTAATTGTTATACGTGATGTACGTTTCTTAATATATTTAAAAAAACTGTTTGTTTGTTTTTAAGTATAGACCTGCACAATGTGATGTGCTTACTTGGAGTATTGAAACCCGGATTTTAATATTAATAATAAAGTAATAATCTGAAAAGTTCGAGGTCATAATATTTCAAAACCTCCAATAGAGGGAACAATGGAAAAGAAAGTACAATTATGGCGTGGACTTTTATATTTTAAAACTGTTTGATCCACTCTCGTAATACTTAAAACCGTAGAAAATTAGAAAAAAAGAAAGAAAAGTTCCTTGTGAGGTCATATATCGTGAAATATATAGAACGTGTATTGGTTTTTCAAACTATAAATACTTAGCGTGTATATAGTGAATATATATATGTGTGTATATTTGCATGTGTTGTCAGAGTAACTTAATGAGACACATCCATATAACAAGTTCATTTCAGGGTATGAAACACTCACATTTACATGCGTGGCTAATTTTTACTTCACTATTATAATCTGGCAAATAACAGAGCACAATAAAGACAGTAAATGTATCATTTGTTGATACTGAGGAGTCAGTGTTATCGTATTTATTTTAGCTAAATATAATTATGAAGGGTGGGTGATAATGTCATTGACATTTTGGATGTTAATTAGCAATTAAACTTTTACAGCTATTCTATTCAAATCCGATTTTGAGTCTGAATACCATGGCTGGACATTTGGAATCAAAAGCAAGGTCAACTGGACACGACAGTATCTAGGTCGAGATGAAAATCAGCGAGCTGGACCTGTAGGGGATCATACAAGCGGAAGTAAGTTTGTTTGTTTTAAGTGCAAGGCTTCACAAGTTTTAGAGTCACAAACTCTCATGCTTACCGCTGAGTCGTTGGTGGATCATGGGGAGCAAATGAACAATTGATATTAATGTCGATATTAGGAAATTTCTTTATAAACAAGAAACGGAAATTAAAAATATGTAGAAGTTGTACAGATTTTACTGTGACCAATTAAAAAATAAAAATATAATATAATTCACTGGTAATAGACATATTTGTGGTGTGTTCTTCCTTGATAGACATATTTGTGGTGCATTCTTCCTTTATAGATATAATTGTGATGTATTCTTCCTTGATAGAAATATGTGTGATGTATTCTTCCTTGATAGATATATTTGTGATGTATTCTTCCTTGGTAGATATATTTGTCGTGTATTCTTCCTTGGTAGACATATTTGTGGTGTATTATTCCTTGATAGATATATTTCTGATGTATTCTTCCTTGATAAACATATTTGTGGTGTATTCTTTCTTGGTAGATATATTTGTGATGTATTCTTCCTTGTTAGATATATTTGTGATGTATTCTTCCTTGATAGAATTATTTGTGGTGTATTCTTCCTTGGTAGATATATATTTGTCGTGTATTCTTCCTTGGTAGACATATTTGTGATGTATTCTTCCTTGATAGACATATTTCTGGTGTATTCTTCCTTGATAGACATATTTCTGGTGTATTCTTCCTTGATAGATATATTTCTGGTGTATTCTTCCTTGATAGACATATTTCTGGTGTATTCTTCCTTGATAGATATATTTCTGGTGTATTCTTCCTTGATAGATATATGTGTGGTGTATTCTTCCTTGATAGATATATTTGTGATGTATTCTTCCTTGATAGATATATGTGTGTGATGTATTCTTCCTTGATAGATATATGTGTGTGGTGTATTCTTCCTTGATAGATATATTTGTGATGTATTCTTCCTTGATAGATTTATTTGTGGTGTATTCTTCCTTTATAGATATATTTGTGATGTATTCTTCCTTGATAGATATATTTGTGATGTATTCTTCCTTTATAGATATATTTGTGGTGTATTCTTCCTTGATAGATATATTTGTGATGTATTATTCTTCGACTTTATTGTAGCATTTTTAACAACTTGGCTCCAATAGCAGTTATATTCATTTTTTCAGTTCAGTCTATAATCACGGAATGTTAAATTTAAATACTTACACATTAATAATCTTTCTCTGCGTATATAACTTTCCGTAAAAAAGACAAACAACACTTTTAATCGTCTTTCTAGATCCTGAAAAGGAACATTGAATTAAATGAAGGAAGCAATCTATGGTTCAATCATCTGATATAAAACCAACGTCTTTTATTTGGCAGGTGGTTTCTACTTCGCTGTCAACACACTAGGTCAAACCAGGGGCGATTTGTCTTATTTAATAAGTCCATTGATTGAGACCACTAAATACCCTTTTGTTTCCATCTCATTCTGGTTCCACATGTTTGGTCATCACACAGGATACTTGCGCTTGCGCTTACTGAAGAATATGACAGAAGGAGAAATTTTGTGGAGTGCAGTGGGAAATCACGGTGATAGGTGGTTAGAAGCAAGAGTTGCCATTGGTGGAAATTTTCCAGTTCAAGTAAGCGAGTTAATTTAACTGGAATATGTTTTAGGAAATAAATCGTTGCACTTCATCAGATCAATTATTAAAAGATTTACCTCTCACTTAGAATAACTTCTCCAACAGAGGGCGCTATTGAAAACAGCAGTGAATTATAACTATCGTTCTCAGCTCTCCATTACCATTATATACATTATCAAAAACTGAATTTTGTAGTTCAAAATGGAATTAATGCTTCACAGTAAACCGGCTAGTATTATGAATATATAGGTCACTAAGTATGTTTAACCGGAAATTTGTCATCAGTCAGAATGTCATCAATTTTTATAGATCCCAAACACCATTGGCTGTGATGTCGTTATTATTTCTGCCATTGAAAAAATATTGTTGCCAAACAATATGAATTCTGATTGATTTATAAAGAGCGCTGTTTTTCGTATTTCTTTAGTTTGTTTATCTTTTCTGAAAATGGTTTTTAGCAATTAGATATCCAGTAAGGCCACTTCATGTTAATGTGTATCTTACTGTTATCGAGATGGCATTCACATCTAGATCATTGGCAAGATCTCTACCTTATTGTAATATATTTTGTAAAATGTATACCCTGAATTACACAACATTATTTCTGAAGAGCTTGTGTTTTTTTACCTCGCCTTTTTCTAATATTTACAGTACTGGTTTCACGTACCCTCCTCGGAGCTTTGGTTTACATTTTGTGTTAATTACATGGAGTCATGAGCGTTTTTCTCCTGTTTACTTATAAGACTGAAAAGAATCGTCGACAATCTATTCATAGTAAATAATAACCTTTTACATCGACAGCTTGCGTTGTGTATGCCATCAGATTTCCTTGTGTTTACACGATCGCGTGGGTAACAGTTATATCAATTTTAACTAATTATATCTTTAATTGAGGTAGTATTTGTCGATCTGTTTGTGATCCTTCTAATAACGACAATTAGTAACAAGTTAACAATTCCTAATAATAACAATTAGTAACATATTAACAACTCCTAATAACGACAATTAGTAACGTGTTATCAACTCCTAATAACAATTAGTAACATATTAACAACTCCTAATAACGACAATTAGTAACGTGTTATCAACTCCTAATAATAACAATTAGTAACATATTAACAACTTCTAATAACGACAATTAGTAACGTGTTCAACAACGCCTAATAATAACAATTAGTAACATATTAACAACTTCTAGTAACGACAATTAGTAACGAGTTAACAACTCCTAATAATAATAACAGTTAGTAACATATTAACAACTCATAATAATAATAACAATTAGTAACATATTAACAACTTCTAATAACGACAATTAGTAACGAGTTAACAACTCCTAATAATAACAGTTAGTAACATATTAACACCTCCTAATAACGACAATTAGTAACAAGTTAACAATTCCCAATAACGACAATTAGTAACATTGTTAACTCTTAATAATGACAATTAATAACGTGTTGACAACTCTTAATAATAACAATTAGTAACATATTAACAACTTCTAATAACGACAATTAATAACGTGTTGACAACTCCTAATAATAACAATTAGTAACATATTAACAACTTCTAATAACGACAATTAGTAACGAGTTAACAACTCCTTATAATAATAACAGTTAGTAACATATTAACAACTCATAATAATAATAACAATTAGTAACATATTAACAACTTCTAATAACGACAATTAGTAACGAGTTAACAACTCCTAATAATAATAACAGTTAGTAACTTATTAACAACTCATAATAATGACAATTAATAACGTGTTGACAACTCTTAATAATAACAAT